GTCGCACAATTTAAAGTCTCATAAAGTCTTCCTATTTTGAATATCGGGTAACTTATAGATACTCTCAGAAAGTTTTAATTGAATACCCTGAGACTTTTAAAAGTTTTTAAAAGTCTCAATTGAATAGATGTAAACTTTTTAGAAGTCTCTCAAAGTTTTAATTGAATACACCAAAATTCTGATAATTTTAAAAGGTCTCTAAAAGTTGAAATTGAATACACCTCAGTCTCGTGGGATTTTGCTATACTTCAATCATCTCTTCCTATATTTAAATTTAGAGTGTTTTTTTTAACAAAAATATATAAATGTCAACTTATGATATTTTAAAATTCTCCCCTGTCAACTGGGATGGATTGCAACAATTAAATTCCTTCAAAGCCTGGTGGTGGCACATATCAGAGATGAAACATGATGATACTTCTGAAGCCTGAATACAACTATCTACGTATATTCTCTGGTGACTTTGAAAGTCCAGAAACCTTTGAGTTTTTGAAGGTTCAGACAAGTCCGCTCCTCTCATAGTGCAAGTTGCAGTTAGAGACTGGAAGGAATTTTCAGAGATAAGCCAGCAAACTAATGCAACAGGAATGGGACAGTGGCATCGATGGTCTAGGATCCTTAGGATCAGTGGAAGTCTATGTATTGTTTCCTAGTTTTCATTATTCCTTTAATTGTTGTAAGAGACTTAAGGTCCGGTCGGGATTGATAGCTGCTTAAGTCCCTTTGATTTATGCTATTCTCTAGACCACCTGCAACTGCGAGTGACTCTCCCTTTATTCGGCATGTATTCATTCAGTTGTAATTGTAGGTTGTACTCTGATGTATATCTATGATAATATCTATCGGTTTTGATATTAAAAAAATATATCAATCTCACGTTTTTTGTGTTTCATAAAAAAAAAATAAAAAATCAATCTCACGTTTTTTGTGTTTCATAATCTATGTTGACTTGTGATATTATTAAACCGTTCATCTAGATTTGAACAACTATAATTAATCCACTTGTACAATCAAAGCATATCACTAAATTTCAAGGAAATAAATAGCTCGCTAAAGTCGCCGCTATTTGAGAAATAGCTTTTTTTGGCAGCGTGCCGCTATTTGTATTCATGTGCAATTTAGCCGCTAAATCAACCTAAATCTCCGCTATAGCTCCGCTATAGCTACAGTGCCATAAACGTTTTAGCCCGCTATTTAAAACCTTGCTAAATTTTATTAATTTTTTGATCAACTAATCCCCACTTGTACGATTGCATAATGCATGTCACCAAGTCAAACCAAATTATTTAACAAATTTAATGGAGTAGATCTTCAACAATTTCAACAAAGTCCCCTAACGATTGCATTATTACTAGATTGCATTATTACAGATTGAGACCCCCAACTGCCCAATATTTCATTGCCGCCTCAATAATGACCTATATGGATAAAAAGAATTTTAACTTCATCCCACAAAAGAATTTATTTTACAAAAAATGTACTAAAAAAATATAAAAAAAAAATATTATTATTCACCCATCTCACGTGAACCTTATTATTATAAATTCTTTACAGACTTCACAGTTCATCTATTTGATTGAAAGCAGGAACAATAATGCAACTGCCCAAGTGAAAATAAAATGCGCGAGACTATAAATATGACTTCATATGAAACAAATGCAAGTACCAGGTGAATCCACAATACCTGAATGCCTGTGAGAAAACACATATATAAACGCAAGATACGTACGGACTCACCGAGAAGATGGCTCGACTGTACGCTCATAATCCCATGGCCAATTGTTTCCAATATTCGAGGACTTGTGTCCGCATGACACTGAACCTTCCATCAGAATCCGAGCAGAGGCCCAGGCGAAGTGTAGAGCTCAATCTGAGAGACAAATTAAATGAAAAGTCTCTTTTAGGCCTCTATGCCATGAATGGTGGAGAAGGGCCTAATAGCTATGCCCAGAACTCATCTTACCAGGTATGTTACATGTTTACAGATACATGAAACAAAATGCTAAAATGAACTGTATGGAACTTCAAAAATAATTACACAAACCACCTTAGAGAATTTTATTCTTTGTTGTATCAATAATTCAGACACTGGCATTACATTATGGAGGATGTCAATTGCATTTAAAAAACGATACAACTTTAATAATTTTGAAAGATAACTGATATATTTTTGTAATTAAACTGAACTTTGATCTTATTGCGGAAGGTATACAACACACGGTTTGCTCTTTTATTTTTTCCTACAGAGAGGAGTATTAGATGCTGCAAAACCAATCATCGAGCAAGAAATAATTGCAAAACTCGACACCAAACGACTCTCCTCAACCCAAACGACAACCTTTCGAATTGCCGACTTTGGATGCTCTACCGGACACAACTCGTTCCCAGCCATCCAAATCATCACACAAGCCATTGAGAACAAATTCCAAATGGAGGGACCAACATCCAAAACCCCAGATTTCCAAGTGTTCTTCAATGATCAGGTTATGAACGATTTCAACACCCTCTTCCACTCACTCCCGCCCGGGATAAAATACCACGCTGCGGGTGTACCCGGGCCATTTCATGGCCGACTCTTGCCAGAAGCCAGCCTCGATTTTGGTTACTCATCCTGCGCCCTTAACTGGCTGTCCGGTGTGCCTAAGGCGGTGGAGAACCGTATGTCCCCAGCTTGGAATAAGGGGAGAGTTCATTATACGGGAGCAGGAAAGGAAGTTTTTGAAGCCTATTCAAGTCATTATGCAAATGATATCGGGTCGTTCTTAAGAGCTAGGGCGGAGGAACTTGTGGGTGGAGGGCTCATGGCCCTACTCGTGCCTGCAGTCCCCACCTTTGAGATCTCGGGGACGTCCTACACGACCCCAACTGAAATGGATCTCATAGGTTCTTGCCTAGTGGACATGGCAGAGAAGGTACTATATTCAATTGACATGCTCGTCTGTTTCTTGATTTTAAGTTGGAAGGAGTTTTATTAATAGTAACAGTTACAGGGCTATCTTACCAACTTAAAAACACACCCTTATAATGGATGATCAACACCCTCATGAGGACATCAGAGTGTAGTTCTTAATAAAAAGAATATTTGTGAATAGAAATATGAATCTTCTTCTTTTCTTTACTTTAATCAGAATGAACCTCAACGGTATAATTTGTGATCAACCCGATAAGTTACTTCCACATACGACCGCGAGCCCATGTCCCTAGAAGGTAGAAACTAAGTATTTAAGATTTTTTTTTTTTAATAGAAAAAAAAAGTAGGCCTAACAAAAAGAAGTACAGAAACCCACTAGACTTGCACTAGCAGGTAAAGTTCTATAACTTCAACACTGATACTGATGAATGAAAGTAAAGCTATAATATCTTCTTCTTTGTTGCAGGGAATAGTCAGCAAGGAAAAGGTGGATACGTTCAACTTTCCATTGTATTTTACTGTTCCACAAGAACTAAAGGCAATAATAGAGAGGAACCAAAGCTTCAATATTGAAAGGATGGAAATACTTAACAATCCAGGGAAACGCACCTTGCCCAGCGCCAATGCACGTGCAACATATCTCAGGGCCGTCTTTGAAGGATTGGTGATGAATCACTTTGGAACCCAAATCATGGATGAATTGTTCGGTCGGTACACGAAGAAGCTGGCGGCATCACCATTGTTCCTAAATCCTGACAACGAGAAATCAATAATAATATTTGTCCTCCTCAAGCGCAAAGAAGAATGATACAGAAACACAGCATCCCTTCATCTTCAAGTGCAAAGAAGAAATCCATATTATAAAACCAAATTATGTAACAACGGCCTGCTGTATAATGTTAACAATTTGTAGCTTGCTCCGTGCTTGTGATTTCAGCAAATAAAGTTCTTATACAGTTTACTCCCAAAATACTATAAGAGGAGCACACCACCTTTGAACACCGTACTAACTACGGCGAAGATAATATAAAAAGATACATACATATTCAGAGACCATAAACAGTAGGCATAAGAACATCACTGAGGTCAATGTTACTATTCCCGAGAGCAGTTAGCCACCATAAAAAAATTTCTAAACAATGATCATGTGCATGAATTCATATCAAGAAGTCCATACAGGTAAAATCGCAACTGTCCCACATATCTCTGAATCTCTGAAAATAATACAAAATGGAGACAGGACGGAACTAGGACAAAAACAGCACTGTGTACAAGCTGATATCCGGAGATGATTCACAGGTTGTATAAATTACATTACTCAAACCAATCGTAGTATAGGTCTAAAAATATAAAGCGGTACGCGGTACCATAAAGTGTGATAAGTGAAAAAGAAATAAAACTACACGCAGATAATATTGAAAATCATATTATTGTCTGTAATAGCCACTCTGGTGGGGAGGCGGGGGGTATGGAGAAGGAACAGTGTACGGGGGGCGGGGCATAGACCCCGTTTGCTGAGTTGGCGCATTATAGTACGGGCCTCGCCAGCCTGGATATGCAGGTTGCCCGTACTCATGACTCACGGCAGGCTGCTGGTGTTGTGGAGGTGGGTAAGTGTTGGAAGAAGGTACATGATAGGGTGGTGGAACTTGTTGCGGGCTAACATACGGAGGGGTTTGAGAATATATTGGCATTGGGGACTGATTTGGCGGCTGGTAATTGTGGGGCGGGGGCATGTTTAATGGTTCCTGTTGGTGTTCAGAACTGGGCCTTTGGGCCTGATGGGGATGCCCAGTGGAAGGAAAGGAGTATCCGGAAGTGGTTTTGTTTTCCTGGAAACTAAGACCCGATATTTGCCTCTGGACATCTTCAATCATCTCCCGGCACTGGATGTTTCGGGTCATCACGAAATCACTGCACTGTTGCTTTACTATGGTGATAGCATCCTGTTTTCACAAAAGGATGCATCTTGGGGTGAGTTTAGTCCATATACAAATAAAACTCAGAGACAAATGATTGTGTAGAGAGAATTGAAATATAATAAAAGTATCAAATAAAGCAGCTTGGAATACAGAGCAAGTTTCTACTGTCAACTGCTCAGGTAAATACCTTTAGCCTCCACCAGACATTCTTTTCGCTTCTCCTCCTATTTTTTGTTATTAAGTATCATCACAAAACAATCTTATTCAAATATTATACAGCACGTCAAAATTTTCCCTTTAGTTTTACAAATTGCGATTACTTAAACCTATCAGGGATCAGATTACAAACTACAGTAACACCAATACGTAAGCCTGAGCCAATATTAGTCACTGTCCAATATTGAAGCTCAACTTTCAGGCAGAACATGTTAGACATAACATCTGTTTTTTTGACTCAGCAAGTTCCTGCTGCTCTCTTTTAGTCTTTTGTTGTGGGGATTGGCTCGTGTGCAGGTTCAGGTGGCCATAGCGGTGCGCTCGCGAAAAGTTGGGGAAGTTGTATTCTATTGTCTACAGGTGTGTGTTGTTGTTTCCTTTCCTTTTGTTTAGGTGTGCTTGTTTCTGTGTGTAGGTTTTTTTTTTTTTTTTCTTGTTTGGGTTTGAGGGGTTGATCCAAACTTTGTTCTGGTTCTTGTGGTGTCATTTGACATCTCAGGTGTACTCCGCAACTTCAATTTCATATCTTTCTTGATCAAGTTCGATTTGATTAATAATGAAGCATATAGTCAGAACAGGATACTATACCTGAAGCGTAATATAAAACTTCAGTCCTTCGTTAATGTTGTCCTTGATTTCTCTATATTTAGCTATGGCAGCTTCAATCTGTCTATAACCCTTTTCCCGAGATGCTGAGGATCAAAACAAGGAACTTTTTAATGCTGAAGCATACAAAATTTCAAGTATGGCCCAACATCATCATGAAGAGTACACTGTACCTTTATAATCTTCAAGGTTAAAGATAGCAGCAAACTCATCATTTTGGGCCTGTACAAGATACATTATGTTAAGATGAAAATATTATCGGGGGTTTGATTCAATCACTTCCAGCTTAAATAAATAAATATTAAAAAAAAAAAAAAAAAAAAAAAAAAA